CTTCCCGAGCAAAGCATGTACTACGTTTACGGAACTAATGACCCTGTACGCACCCGGAATCTCACGCAATCAACATTCCATTTCAGTCTATATCATTTTTTTGTCCCTCCTACACTGGAAAATTTCTTTCAAAAGCTAATATGTCTCAGTTCCTCACATTTTCAGTGAGTTTGATGGTCCAAGTATTGATTATTCTTTCCCTTGCGGTTTCAAACCGGCAAAGCGAAGTGTGGTAGGGTCGCGCTGGCGTTTCAAGGCCAATTCTCCTTCAGCGGAGCGCGGCGGTCGCTGCAGGAACTACATATCCGTACTTCGTTTTCGATCGTGAAGGAGTTTGCCCCTCACGTCACTCGGGACTCTGCTCCTGGAAACTTACGAAGCGTCTGCACGACTTACAACTTCCGTGCGACATTCGTTGAACGCGTCAGGCGCTTGTCGAGGGCCTCAACGTTTCGCACATCTTTTTGCTCTCGATCGATTTAAGACCCTCATCCCTTCGCCCACAAGTTCCCACTCCTCTCCGCACACCCGTGCTGTTGTACGCACTGCTATTGGCTGAAGATCGCTTCCGCTAAACATTCTTCCCTCCCCCCCAATCCCTTTCCCTTCCTGTTTTCGAATACGGTGTGATTCATTAGAATATTGTTCACTCTACGCGGGGATATCAGGGATTTTCAGAAGGGACACGTTAGAAAATAATCTAAACAACGCACGAATGTCCAAAAATTTATCTCCACCTCTCCCCAGATACATAGTTTACATTTATCATCACAAACAACGCATAGTGCCCAAAAGTGAATCTTCAGCTTTCCCCTGATACGCAGTTCATATTTATCACTCTAATGTTTCTTTCGTGTAACGACTGACTCCCCATGTCTTCGGGGATTGCGTGGACAGGCGAAAGAGGCCGAATGGCGTCAGTCGCCACCTTCCACGTGCGCTGCGGCCGGCGTCTTCTGCGGGGCCACTCACTCTGTTCTGCGGCTGTTGCGGAAGGCTCCCTTCCACAGCTTTGCATTCCCATTGCAGCGAGGTCGCCAATAGAGCGTGACAAACACCGGTGTTCCTCCTCTGAGCAACAGACCCAGGGGATGCCACGGTGGCAAGATGTTCGACGCTAGCTAGACAGCTCGGTCGAATTCAGCCGCTGTCTGGAGGAGAATTCTAGCGGCCGGCTGCTCAGATCGGTAGTTTACCTTGGTTTCTCCGATCAACACCAGGCGGATGCCGGAAGAGTGCTCTAACATAAGGGCTGCGGACAACGCGCGATCCTTCCTTGTCCTATCCGCAGCCCTTACAATGTTTTTGCCCATCACTACAACTCACGCCGGGAGACAAATTGGCCACGTACATAGAGCTTGTCGCGCTGGGGCGATGCACGCTGATGGTGGACTCCTGGTTTGGGGAAAGCCCTGCAGCCGACGGTGGGGCGGCGCGGGATATCGCCATCCAGCGGGAGAGGATCACCGCTACCTTCCGATTAAAAACATGCACAACACTTACGGAACTAATGACCTTAGCAGTTGACGCTCCAAGAATCACTAACAAGCCATCATACCTAGGGGATGTGAAACACATCGCACTCTTGTGGTCCGTATTGCTTGTTTTGAGCAAAACAACATTGTAGCAAAGCAACCTCAGAGCGAGGCAATCGGAGTGATGGGGAACTGCGCTACTTTCGTTACAAATTCTCTCATAACTTTCGTCACTTTAACATTAAATCTTCCTTTACGCTCCAGTATGGACATTAAACTTTCAAACATTCGAACCCATTGTGCCCAAGTATCGTGTGCGCCTTTTTAAAAACGTGCGGCTTCGGGCTCCCCGTCTCCTTTTGCGGCTGGGAGGTGCGGAGGGGGGAGGCACACTCGCCTCGCAAATCGAGAGGGGAAGCTGCGCCACAACGGGACAACCTCGCTAATCTGAAATTTCTGATAATCCGAACAAAACTCACAATGGATATAACACAAACAAATAAATAAAATGCTTGTTTGTAGTGTAAAGAAATTATTTTATAATTCGCACATCGCACGCTACGTTGCATTGTCAGGTAATTCTAAAGCTGTATTTATAAATGTTCGATACCTTTTTTGGGATAATCTGAACATTCCCGAGTCCGAACAGACCACACCCCAATTAGTTCGAATTACCGGGGTTCTTCTGTATTTCTTTATCGAAGTGGAAGCATTTTCAATGAATCATCTGGCGTCTTCAGACGAAACACCTTACAAAATAGTTTAGACATATAAGACGCTTTCTAACGGGGAGGTCCAAGATCTCAAGTGCCGGCGGTGGCAGCTTTTCGGCACTAGCTGCAAAGCTAGGCGTAATTCAGCTGCTGTCTGCAGGATAATTACAGGAATCGCCCATCTCGATCAGGTTTTTGTCCAGTTTCCCTGATCCATTCAGCAAATGCTGAGATGGTCCCTTGTTTCGCTTTTGAACGTAAATATAGCCTCACTATGCGCACGTTTTATTGAACTCCTTTTACTTTGAAAGGTAAGAGCAGAGGTAATGGCGAGTTGCTATTTTGTTAGCAATGCAGAAAAATCATACTTACAATTCGTGTACCGATGCAAATAAGTTTTCTATAACTCAGAAACGAATATGACTATTTTTCTTATGTCTTACGATTTTTAATATTTATTTATTTTATATATTTATGTTAAACTTTTGCTCACCTTTCAACTATTTATAGTTAAAATGGCGGGAAGGGATTCTGGAACTCAAGAAAACGTTCGCAGATAATCTTTTCCCCCTTCGTCACATGCAGTTTTTACGGATTTTTGACTGAATAAATCTAATCTAATCTGCTTCTCTGGTAGTTTTCCGTGTTTTCTCCCATCAATGTCAAGAAATGCGCGATAAATTGCGCGCGAGCTTTGATTTCTCATCCTAGTCGTCCCCTCTCATTTTACTTACCACACACAAAATTCTACTAAAACACATTTCCGCTAATGCACCCTCCCCATTCCACTGCACCTACGTCATTACGATCGGATACAGAAACAGGCCGGCAAAGTTATCTGTATTTAAAATACTATAAAACCAAACATAAAGTAAATAAAAAATATCCCTCATTTCCAAACACCCCAATAAATAAACTATTCTCGTATTAACATCAATCTGATAATTCACACTTCTAAAACATCACCCAATCGCACCTGCCTCCTCTCCGGTCACCTTGTATCTAGAAGAAGGGAGAAAGTTTTCATTCTATTACATTTTCAACTGTACTGATTCCGGCCCATCGGGTAAAATGCTAAATGTGTGTGATGATTTACTAATGAAACCGGAATCATTTCACTTATTTCCATTCACTGCATTACCAAACACATCCAGAGACTACTCCAGGGCTTCGAGACCGTTTCGTCTTCGAGAGACCGATAGGGGAGATATCTGGATAGGGGACACAGTTGGCGTCGCGACTGCCTTCTCAGAGATTTCAGATTTCAACGTGCAGCAAACGCACGGGACTGAGGCTCAGAGCAGTTCACGAAGGCACTCGCTGTGCCCACAGGGCGGGGGCGGGGGTGGGCGACTTTTGAGAGCTCTGAGGTTCTTGGTGGAGGCTGGAAACGTCCACCCGCTCCCTTAAAATAAGTTGGTGATTGACAATTGCGCTTCTGAAGCTATTGCTTTGCTCAATATGAATTGGTTACTTTATAACTATTTATTTCAAATGCATATTTTCGTGTCCCGGGAACACGTGCCAGTGGTACGCAACCTGTCGAGATCGCTCTTTTCCACTCGGAACTGTCAATCCCCAATTGGACATAGTTTCTCGGCGTACTCACGTCGTTAGCTCAATGTTGGTGCAGAGAAGAGCTGGTGCTAAGTTCCGTGTTGCCGTGTTCGCCCGGTACCCACCACTTGTGCCCCTCCGAGCTTCTCTTTGGGCGAGACTTAGCGCGGGACTTGTTCCCAAACCCACATTAAACCCCAACAGAGAACAGGAACCTCCCGTCAAGTTGCTCTAGATTTCGGCGATACTCACGTCGATAGCGTCAAGGTGAATGCAGTGAGGAGACGGGTTGGGGATCCGCAGCTACCCGGAATTCGGCTGGGGCGGCCGCCAATTGAGCACTTGGCTTCGTCGTGGTCAATTGAGCAGGGATTCGTCCCGGCGTTTTGTGAGCGGCGCTTAATCCGGCACCGGAGCCAGCCCGGACAGCCAGTGGCTGTGGCGCACTCAGGCTTAATGAGAAAGGCGTCCCGGTGGGGTGCTGCGCTGCGGCGCGCGCCGAAGCCAGCCCAAAGGGCACTTGCGCGCCCGCGGGGAGTGCGGAGGAAACGCTTGCGAGCAAACCTTGGGAGCAACATACCCTCGGCTGCTCTGACCGACAGGTTTGCTTCGTTTCTCGGATCAACACCTCACGGGTCCCAGCAGGGCCCCAACACACGGGTCACGGACCGCGTGCGCGCGATCTCTGCTTCCCCTGTCTTGTCCCATTTCCCCCCTTTGCACACCTACACTAACATGCAGTGCACGGAGTTTAGAGCACGTCCCGGCGGAAGCGGTGCCCCGCTGGTGGGAGATACCTGGCTGGGAAAACCTCGCTAACCGACGTAGTTCGGTTCCATCCTGCAGAGACAGATCACCGCCACCTCACGAGCAAAGACTAATACTTACTGGAATAATGATATTAGTTGATGCGCCCGGAATGACTAATAAATCACACATTCTCCTGGTAAAACAAGACTGTAAGGTAGTAGACTACGCACGTGATTTCGAGAGAGTACTACATGAAGAGTCCGCTTTCACAAGTACTGATTGGCCACTGGCACTGGCAATATAACTGCAGTTGATATCTAAATACTCGTTTTGTATATGCGTTTATTTACAGAGAGCGTTAATTCGTAAATGGTTTTGTCACTATCTCTTGCAATGTCGTACCCCATCAAACTACTCTGCACCCGCTCCCTGTGCCCGCAGCTATGCGCGCTGAAGCGGGAGTGGCGTCCGGTGGCAAGCTACGGGGGGGCGGCGGCGGCGGCAGCCGGCGACGTCGCGGCCGCGCGGCGCGGCGGCGGCGGGCGGCGGGCGCCGGCGCGGCTGCGCGGGCGGGCGCGGCCGCGCGGGCGCCGGCGGGCGCGCGCGGCGGCGCGTCGGCGCTGCTGCAGGGCGCGCTCGCCCCCTCCGCCCCCACGACTCGCTCAGCTGCGCAAGATCAAGAAGGTGCAGAGCTTCTTCCCGGCTGGCTTGCCGCGCCGCTGAAGCAGATCGTCGCTAGCAGTACATTCAAAAGTCCCCGCCACCCGAGAGCATGCGCAAACGCAAACAGGTCAGCGCCCCCCCCGCCCCCCCAGCACAAAGGAACACGTTTGCGCGTTCACTTCATATCATAGTGCCAAAAAACTTTAATGTTTTACTACTATGTTTACGTATTTTACACAAAAGACCATACTTTTATGTGCCTGATTTTTTTTCTGTAGCCCCCTCTCTAAAATGGCGCTATTGCATCGCGTTGGACGAAACGGTCTGTAAATACCGACGCTATTCTAAATAAAAGGGCATATCGACGACGCAATCCCTGGTTCTGCTATGTTGGTTTTCAGCGTGAGTTTCGCAGAAACGGCAAAGTTATGTTTGTGGAAATGACACGTTTTTTAGGCGATATCGCGCATCCACATTGCATCTCTCAGTGGCCTGCCTTGACCTTGATACCCTTCACCAGAAACAATTCGCACACTTCAGGAAGCGCCGTTGACATTTTTCTTTCCCCCGATAGTCACACGCGAACCTCCGTCGTTATTTGTAAATTACTTCTTTGGGCCGAAAATCTTAAGTAAAATCATGATGTGGCACTGACACTTTTCGATTCAACCTTATGTGGCAGTGATAAAGCATTGTGAGAATTTACCACAGGCAAGTGAAGCTATTTCCATAGATTTTTATTTTCGAAATCCATGTTGGCAATTTGAAAACGCGTCGACACGTGATTTCGTCGTTTTTTGGCTTCCATACAGCAGAATACTGATGATGATGGCTAAGCCATCGAATGCTGCTATTTTAATAAATAATACTGTTGGCAGTGACGACTCATATAAATATTTTAACACTCTTTTAGTCAGTACAAGACTTTCTTACAAGATAATAGGAAATGTTTCATCTGAAAATTTAAAACCAATATTCGTTTCTTTAAGTTACGGAAATCGTTGTAAATAATAGGATTAGAAAGAGTATAATGTTTTGTCTTTATATTATGAAACAGACCAATATACCCTAAGATAACAGTATTTAATAATAAAGAATTGATTGAAGAATACATATTTCTTATGTTTTAATACATATTTCTGTATTATATCTTCCCAATTACAACACATGCCCTAATTACCACACATGTCGAGAGCTGGTGGGAACTTACATCTTCCCCGACTGGGGCGGTACAAGTAATTAAAGTATTTTGAGTATCACTTTGAAATTAGTTCCTTATCCTTAAATAAATCGTGAATTTGAACATGAAATATGTAACAACTACACCTACAATTGTAAAATTTAATACCGTTATTGAAAAGATATTCCCAGTTTTTTAAAATTCAATTTATTTCGTAAAGTATAAAAATATAACTGCAATTGTTTTATTCATTGAAGTTCAATTTTGATGCCACCTCACTACTTTGACTTTCTGCACCAGCTTTAGATAGTTATATTTGGTCTGCTAAGAAGCGCTCTGATATGTAACAAATATGTATGTGTGTGTGTGTGTCAAATTTTGCAATCAATATCACTGTGTTCAGGTAGGTCCAAATAATTTAATAGGCTTAAGTGTTAAAAATGTTAAATTTGTAACATTTTTGCTGTTGGCCCCCTCGAATGACGTCTGGGCTCATGCATTTGTGCGGTTGGCCAGCCTGGTGTTCCGCATGGTGGAGGCGGAGGAGGAGTACATGGAGCAGCTGGAGGTGCTGGTCTCGTGCTTCCTGCGGCCCTTCAAGATGGCCGCCAGCTCCAAGAAGCCGCCCTGCTCGCACGAGGACGTCAACTCCATCTTCCTCAACAGCGAGACGGTGCTGTTCCTGCACCAGATCTTCCTCAAGGGGCTGACGTCGCGCATGGAGAGCTGGCCCACGCTCGTGCTGGGTGCGACTTCGTGCAGCGAAGCGCTTCGTGCAAAGACATGGGGGAGCGGCTTGGGTCGACGAGCTAGCATAGAGTGGCTGACCTGCGTTTCAGCGCTCGTGGTCGACGCTCGCACAACTAGAGGCTGGCATGTTTTTTTTTTTTTGTTTTTTTTTCTAAAAACGTGAATGGTGCCCGGGGGTGGCGTGTAGATCTGTTCTCTATTGTTTTTTTTTGTTTTGTTTTTATGTATTTAAATTATATTAGTGGTTAGAATAATAATATTCACAATGCCAATAAATATAGAAGTCTTCAGACAACAAATATATCACTTTTTTCAAGTTTGCCACCTTATTTGTGATCTATTTCTTTGCTTCTTATTGCAATAACATTCACTTTTAGGCGTTACGCTAACTGCAATAGCATTTCAACAGCTTCCATTCTTATGACAAACATCTACGCAGGAAGTAACGTATATTTAAAGTTTCTCAATTCGTTCTCCTTACATATTGTGGTTTCGTTTTTAAATGATTATTATTTGGTCGTAGAACACAGGATTTATATAATGCGCGGCCCTCGCCCACCAGCCATAACCAGCGCCGAACGAAATACTAGAACACTCTGCTTTTCCGGAGGGCGCTGCTTTGAGAGCAAAAAACATGACGTTAATTTGCTCTAAAGATAAAGGCACTCAGCCACTCTATGTAGTTTATGTAGCTCGTTGGCTCAAGCGCACAAATTTTTGCAAGTTCTGCGCAGCACCAGATACGTCACGAACCACGTGACCACAACACGGATTCGTCAGTTGAAACGCCACGCTAGACGCTGGGCGCCATGCTGCATGGCCAACAAGATGTGTTCAGAATCATTTTGAAAGGGGCATAAAGTGACAATTTTCAACGGTGACTAACCACAAATAACACGATGATGGTGTAAACGATACAATATTTAAATGAAATTCTTCGTATATCTGATTCAATGATTTGTAACAATGGTAATTTTGGTATCTGGCTGCATTGAAATTTCCCGTTAATAATGAGTCAAAAACGGGTGCCTGAAGCTCAGTGACTGAAGTTGTATACGATGCGCAATAGTTCACCCATGTCTTTTCATTATTCTTGATGCAGGTGAAGAATATCTAAAGTTTAAAATATTGTCGTGTGTTTATTTGTGTTAATGATGTTAAATAAGACGTTATCTATGTGTTTTGAATAAGTGAACTCACTACTGAAAATTACTTTTTACTTTCTCATATACGTTCGAAGTACAAGTTTATACCGAGTAATACACGGAGTATAGAGAAATGTAAGTAACACAGCATTCAATTGAATAATCAGTGAACATGAACATTGAACTATGAACAGCCGATTTCAACGGAAATACCGTTTTGAATTCCCGTGATGCCGAATACTACCACGTCTTACTATGGATTTACTACTACGTAGTAAAGATAAATATGTATAATACAACGGGGAAAATCGGCATTTTTCGAACACAAAACTAGTAATATCAGGCCATAGCAACAAATACTAAGTGGATAAATGTTGTTCCTATGTTTAGTAAGAAATCTTCTATCACGTTGCGTTCACTGTATCCACATGGGTCTTTGAATTTGTTGGGGGCAAAACGTGTGTGTGGTTGTCTGACTGTCTGGTTGTGATTAACGCTAGCGTCTAAACCGATACACGATTTTCCCAGAAATTTATATTCCTTGATAGATCTGAGTAATCTAGATATCCTGCGTTTCTTAAACGAATATTGAAGGGAAGTAGCCTTTCGATCGTTGTACTTTTGTGGTACCTTTTTGTACCAGCATTTCCTATTGTACCTTTGACTAGACAAAGGTACATAGGAAATTCTAGTGCAACATAAACGTACTTTTCACAAAATAAAGCATGTTAAATTTGAGGTTAATTTGTTTCAAATAGAAAACTGAATATTTAACCTAGAATGTCTCTTGTACACATTTGCGTTTTGCACTAGGAAATAGAATAAATATAATTCAAATTATGCCATAAAATATTTCGACCAAATACTAACTTTCCCGGTTGCAAACATTTCTTTTTTACACACGACACTAGTGAAACTTTTCAAATAAAAATAAGACTTACAGTACCTCTGGTGGGAATACCAACTTATAAATAATTTATCAGTAATATGTACTCTCGCAAGGACTGGTTAAAGATATAACATGTCAAAGGCACAACACCTCCTACCCTATTTCATGTAAATAAAGTAATCAATTTCAAGGGGCCGCAACATCAGCCAGATCGATTAGGCATTATATCAATTTTGATGAAAAAAAATCCGCTAGGCGTATATACGGGCAGGCAGAAGGATGAATGAACAGACATTTTGCTGTAAAACAATTTTTATGAATCAAAGATTCCACAAACGTGGTTTCTGACTACACAAGACGTAAGAGGACGTAATTTACTATCTGGGGGAATGAGACTTATTCACTTCTTCGTCAAGAGTTTTTCAGTCCAAAGATTGCCGGTTTAAAAGCATTACATTACTTTATGCTGCCTATGCAGAGTGCGATAACGTGAATAGATATTTAAAAAAGATTGTATTCATTTGTTTCCAAATAAGAAAGTTTTACGGAATTTCTATTTAAAGTAAAGCTATTTATAATTTTACTCAAGAACTACATCCAATTTTTTTCTTAAACTTTGTTTCAGATACTTAAAAATGGTGAATGTTTCATTTTCTTTGAACGTTTTTAATTTTCCAAAATTGAGAAATAATGCGAGAAAATATACGCTGTAGATACATTAGTAGTTTCAATGTCTCCGTCCATCTGAAGTGTGAACAACACTAGTTGGTTCTATGACCTAATCTATTGGTAGAAATTTTCCCGAAAAGAATATTCCCTATTAATCTGCTGGCACACAAAGTCCTATGACTTTTAAATAGTTCTTTGCATTTTAGCAGTATCCTCAGGCTCATTTTCAATTTTTTTTCAAATACTGCTTCTAATTTTGTTGTTGAAATTCGTGTAATAATAGAGTGGAGCAGACTTATAAATTTGGCGTAGATCCTATTTTTACTTTTAACTCTCAGTTTTCGGAAATGGGAAAAGTGGACTTTTTCGGACAGGTTCTTACTCATTCAATGGTAAATATTTTTTATTCAAATGTCATTTGTTCTGCACAATTATTTCTTTAATTAATTTCATGAATAGGTTTTTGAAAATTGTAATTTTCTCGTAATTTTGAATATATTATGGGCAATAGTAAAAACAAGTTTTTTTCAAAAACCGCTCCAAATTTTGCCTGTGAAATTGTGCACAGATAATGTTAATTAAACAGAATAGCGGGGAATAAACAAAATTTCTATGTATATTTAGATTTTTCAAAAATGACAATATACCTTATTTTATACGTGTCTCGCAATAGAGAAATTTATTACATTAATAGCGTTTCTAATACATTACACATTTGTAGGTAGAAGTTTTTAAATAACTTTTTGTTAAAGTTTTCGAAAACTTAAAGTTTTCAAACTTTTGAATTTTCGGGATATTCAGGAATTACTGTAGAAATTGAGCCTGTGTCATCTTTGTCATCTTTAGTAGTGTATTTTATTATATTCCTACACAAAAATTTAAAGAAAATACTTGGATCCACTTTTGAGAAAATCTAGAAAATGTCTAGGAACTTCATGTGCAGTACCTCCAAAATTTATAGAACTGTTTTCAAACTCGCTTGGCTTAGACTGCGCGCAGGTCAGGTCAGGGAAACAAATAGTTTGCAAAACACCATAGGAATTGTTTAGGCGCTAGTGTTGTTGACAGACGAACGGAAGTATTGAAAAAAAAATTGGGAGAGCGGGTTCAGGCACCCCAACAGAACCGGTATTTCCGTTGATATTTCGAATTCGCTTTCCCTGTACTATGTATATTACTCTGCATTATACGTACGAGAAAGTAATAACTAGTGGGAGGATTCCGATGACCTAAAAAATTGCCAAAGCAGATCAATAAAATGCTCTTAAAATATTTTAAAAAAACCCTAAGAGCAAAATAAAATGATGTACAACATTTGATCAAAACAAGTTCACATGAATAAGTCAAACTGTCGGATATGTTACGGATGTAATCGAGGTTTATTCATTTCTTTCAAGTGAACTCAACTTTCAAACTTTTGGTTTGAACTGTTCTTTATCAGAAAATCTTTGCCATTAGTTATCCTGAAATAGGCTGAATGAACAATGGCGTTCATGGGCGTCACAGGAACTTAGATTAAATACTCACAATTGCAGACACTACAATTACTGAGCAAATAAATCGAATAGGCTACTCAGGAATTACGTGGAGAACATTTGTTGCATTACGTAAATATTATTGAAGCAAGTATCATTATAATCATAAAAATCGATGAATTCAGCACACAATGATTTGAAATGACTCAAAATATAACAAAAACGATTTATTAGTTTTTTTTAAAGTTGACAAAAATGCATTTAAAAAAGGGGAGATTTCTATTGTCAAAACATAAAATAAATGGTTATACTAAAAGGTATTTTTTAATGAAAAAAACGAAAATAATATTTCGTTAACATCCGCCCCCTGTTATAACTAACAGACAGGGATGTGCGGTTGCAGGCGACCTGTTCGACATGCTGCTGCCGATGCTGAGCATCTATCAGGAGTACGTGCGCAACCACCACTTCAGCCTGCAGGTGCTGACGGAGTGCAAGCAGGCCGCGCCCTTCGCGCAGCTGCTGGCGCGCCTGGAGAACAAGCCGGCCTGCCAGGGCCGCAGCCTGGAGACCTTCCTCACCTACCCCATGCACCAGGTGCACTATCTTTATTAGAACCTCCTACCACACAGCGGACTCATTTACTCACTAGGCACCGCGAGAACAAGCCGGCCTGCCAGGGCCGCAGCCTGGAGACCTTCCTCACTTACCCCATGCTCAGTTGCGCTCTTTTCACTCACTAAGAAGGGACCTAGATGGCCTTCCCCATGCACCAGGTGAACTATCTTTATTAAAACCACCAGAATACATCAGAATAGGGTTTGAGAATTTTATCACACCCTATTCCTGACCGATTTCACTCTTTAAATATTTGGATGATCATCGAAAAAAGGTCTATGAATGTATTTCAACTTGGAGGATAATGTAGTAAACAAACATTAAAATCCTCCCAATGCAACTATGATGCGAACGTGCATACAAGGAGAATTGGCGTATGTGACTTAATTTGAAATGTCGGTTTCATGCACTCGTAGCAGATCCCGCACTATATCTGAACACTGCACAAACACAAGGACACTGGGGCAAATGTGCCTCGTGGATTCCGTTTGGAGTAATGAGCTGCGCCTTTCCAGATCCCGCGCTACATCATCACTCTGCACGAGCTGCTGGCGCACACCCCGCACGACCACGTGGAGCGGCGCAGCCTCCAGAACGCGCGCCAGCAGCTGGAGGACCTCTCACGCCAGATGCACGACGAGGTACACTTTCTGCTTGCGTCGTTTGGAGTGAGCAGCCTCCAGAACGCGTCAAAATCCCCTGTATCCCTTCGGTCAGGGGCTCGGCGCCGTTGTCCCAGACGGTCACCCGTCCAGGAATCCGTGGTATCCTGAGTTGCTTAGCTTCCGCCATTTTACAGCCGATTTCACCTGCCCTTACCGATCGTAGATAAACAATACTGGGAACGGCAACGGAGCGAGTTTTCCCCAACCTAGTATCTCCCTCCTGTGAACCGCCCCAGACGGGACAATCTTTGTACTTCCGACTGGATCCCCACGATTCATAGTAGCATTTTTATACGATCGTAGAACGTGTGTTTATATTTGGTGACAAAAATAATTGCTTTTTGTGCGATCTTGATTATGCAAAATACAAAAATTTAACGCACTTTTTATCAAATTAACTAATTAATATTGCATTATTACTATCACTTCTACTATTATTATTATTAATTCTTCAATTCTCAACTAAAGATATCCGGCAAGATAAAATTGTTGCAAGGAGCAACGTAAGAGCTGATCCAGCGATGACACTAAGAGTGATGTTTGCTCTAAGGCCACATATGGCGTTCGTTTGGCGACATATTGCTGTCAGTGCTATTTATTCGTTGATTCCTTCCCAGCAAAATATGATTTCCTTTGCAGCGGAGAGTAGTGTCACTACATTTACTTTTACCAGAAGGTCGTCGGAGTCGAGTCCGATGAGTATCGACATAAATATAGCTATGGGTATCAAATTTTCGACCAATCATGATAATCGTGTTCGGGTCGTAATTGGACGGGTTTTCGACCTGAGATATACAACTATCTCGGATTCAGCTTACGTCTGGAGAAGAATGCTAGCTCTGATCGGTAGTCCAGGCCAATGCCGGAGCAGTACCCTAACAAACGGGGAACGAACCGCGGACTACCCGTCTTTCCTTTCCCTTGTCTTATCCCCTTCCCTTGAACTTACACTTGCACGCCCACACACACTTATATGCACAGCGATTAGCAAGTAGACTGTAGCTTAAAGCGTATTCCGATGCTGCGATTCCCCGCTGACGACGATATTTGCAAGGGGAATCTCTGCAGGTGGATGTGTTCGTCACCGCCGGATCTTATCATCCAGCCAAGGAAACCGGCACTACGTCTATAATATACACTATTTACGGAGCTAATAAGTTGGGAAGTAGACGACGCGGAACATTGACTAAGGACCTTTTACACGGCGAAGCGTTATAACAAATCAACTGTACTATCGATCTTGGCGCTTGCGCAGTTCAAACATCGCATCATTTGTAGGATCTGCTCTTACGTAGAAGATGCAAGTTGTAATCGACTGCTGTACGCTAGACCTTGCAAAAGTCCCTATTCTCTGCAGTTTTGGAATACAGCTATGTTTGCGTATGCGCTTCGAGACGCATGTGTGATGTAGGCTAATGGAAGGGGTGAATGGTGCATATGCGCTTCGTGGGTTAGAGAGTGGTAGAGGGGTGCGGCGTGCGCATGCGCTCGGCTGACGGCAGCGCGGCTTCGCAGGTCAGCGAGACGGAGAACCTGCGCAAGAACCTGGCGGTGGAGCGGATGATCGTGGAAGGCTGCGACATTCTCCTCGACGTCAGCCAGGTGTTCGTGCGCCAGGGTGAGCCAGAGCCTGCAACGCGCCCCTAGCGCACTCGGCAGGTAACCACTCCACGCCCCACACGCACCGCCCTCGACAGCAACTAACAACACACCTAACCCCCTCGCAAGGCTACCAGCTCCCGCCCACACCCCTAGAACCTTGCCAGGTTAGCAACCTTCCGCCCGCCCACCACCCCATCAACCACACACCTAGCGCCTTTCCAAGTTACCAGCCCACCAAGCACACACCTAGCTGCCTCGCAGGTAACCAGACCACCACCCACGCAGCGTCCGTGCCACGTAACTAGCCCACCAGTGCACGCACCAATGCAATTCTTAATTCGGCATTAGACTTTAATATTTCCAAGAACTACAAAACAGCCATAACCATTCCATACGTAAACAAGGCGAATGTACAAAATATGTAGCAAACTACCGATTTATTAGTTGTCACCAACTCTGTCAAAGGTAATCGAAAGATTAATATTATCTAGATTAGTGGAATTCCTACACGTTACGAATGCAATTGTAGCAGTTCGATTGGGATTCCGATCTAAATACGCCACAACTCGAGAGCTATTGACACTAGCTGAATTCATTGCATATAGTTTTCATGAAATAAAACAAACCCTTGCGCTTTTTTGGATATCGCATAGTCATTCGACAGATTGTGGCACTCGGGTATTTATTATAAAATTTAACAGTTGGGTATACCAGAATACTTGCAATATCGCTTTCCCGATACGTTCTTCCAAGATAAAATACACTCTGATGTATCACCTTTACATTCAATAAAAAAGCCTCCACGCTCACACTTCATATCCTCTCTAACCTTTCTGCTTCAAGGCTCTGGGACTGCTGTAAGGCTGTAAGGCTGAAAATCTCCAAGGTGTTGGCACTCTGAGCAAAGAGTGTACTCCACATTATTATACTCGGATATAACAGAGTGGCACTTTAAAGGTCATGAACTCGAGGGGGATGGGGACGTTGTCATCCAATGAGGTACTCAAATATCAAAGGTTTAAACCGTAACAAAGCTCCTGATTGGAGCGACGTCCAGTTCGTGACCTTGAGGTGCCACTCTGTTTAAATCGGAGTGTACAAACTCGCAAACTCATGAGTGGAATGGGAATTTTGAGAAACGGCACTTCTCTGTTTAGCGACGGAAGTAATTCGGGCTTCCTTCTTCCTACATATCAGGATATTTCTTGCCTTCAAGGTTTGTTGCCTCGTCGGCACTGTGCAATAGATATTTGCGTTACAATATTATTCAATATGTTAAGAGATATAGACCCGTGACTTCCTTTTCCAATTGTCTTTTCCTACATTTCAATAGTCACACTAGCAGTGGTGCAATTTAATACTTTAAGAAATATGTGTGGTATTTGGCTTTGGAGCCCCATTCGTGCTAGTGCCGTCAGCGGCAAAGAAAATAAAAAGAAATATTTTGTTGCGAAAGAAAATAAAACATTGCAACTAAAAGAGTAGAAATTGTTGCCTTCTCTAAAGCTCTGTGTCTTTGCATTCGATGTTGTTCAGTGGCCAAGATTGAATCAACTTCCCTTCTGCATCATATCTACACCCTTCACTCCACCCACGCTATCACCAACCACTCCCTCTCGCCATCGTCATGTCAATGTCCTGCCACCATCACTATCCCTCTTCCATTACATATCTCACAACCATCACTCCCTCCACTTGCCGACACCATCGTCCCTACGACCTTCACCATGGGATACAACTATGTTCTTTCCTGCCACCATTATTCTTCCGTTTTGCTACCATCACTGCCTCGCTCACCAGCTGCCACCATCACCTCTCTCGCCACCTCAACTTCCCCGCCTTGCCAGCATCACTGCATTGCCATTATCACCACACGCCACTACTATTCCTGTTCCTGTTAGCTCCCTCGCCCTACCCTACCACAGAACTACAACCACTACTTTCTCTGCCAAACCTCCCTTCAATCATCGCCATCCCTGCCTCCACTATCTCCTCTCCCACCAATATTACTCACTCGCCTTACTCTCTCTTTCCCAGAAAACATCTCCAAAGCCCAAAACCACCACCGTCCCCGCCTTCACCTCCTCTCTAGCCAAGTCACTTCCCGCCCCGCTAGCAACCCGACTATCGCCATCGCTGTTCGTGCTTCCATCACCTTTCGTACCCACATCACTTCCCGTCCTGCCACCATCACTACTACCCTCCACTATCACATCTCTGACCACTATCACTCCACCGCCCACCTTCGCCACTTTCAATCCCCCAACCTGCGAGCATCACCGTCACTTAATAATGAAATGAAACACACAGCAGCCCTTGCAAATGCACCTTAGCAGTTCAGTCGCCACCGAATGGAATGTAACAATGGGTTCAGACAGTGGTGAGGTAGAAGAAGAGGAAGGAAATTTTAATACATTAGGGATTTTCTTTCAACATAATTAAAAAGAAAGGAAAACGAAAAGATGTGCGCCTAGCTACCCCAGAAAACCTATTTACCTGAAAAGTTACATAGCTCAATATTAGAGACACATCTACGTATTCGATTCATCTGTGTATTGCAACAATCAGTGTTTTTATGAGAAAAGTTTGAAGATTCATCCTAGAATGATGTTGCCGTTCAGATTTCACCTGTAAATGCCTGATGTAAATGTATGATGTTGCCGTTAAGACATCAATACCAGTAAAATGTAAAATCCATGGTATGAGTTATGTATAGCCGGTGTGTCTTTACATAATCCTATCGCTCAGAAGTTTTTATTACTTTTTACTTCCTCGCTACGGCTACCGCGGTAGACAGAAAGTTATGAAATTTTGTGCAAAAAAGCGAATTTTCGGCAGAAAAAAAAACTATTACAAGGCCCTAGCAACGAAAAAGTGGATAAATCTAGATGCTAAATTTAGAAAAAAATCCTCTAACAGTGGTGTAGTCTGAATCCATGATTTATGGGTACTGAATACCAAAAATCGATTGACGGCGAAAAGCCCGTCTGTCCGCCCGTCTGTCTACAACTCTAGTGGCTAATCCGTTCAACTAATTTTCTCCAGAATTGATTTTCCCCAATCCATCTGCCTGATGTCACGGTCTCTTGAATTTGAAATCAATATTTTAATTTTGGGAGATACTTTACGTGAGCCCCTGGGACATTTTCAAAATTAACAAAAATGGCTCCATCGTTTTTGATTAAATTTTGTTGTTAGATAGTACAATGGACGTGTAAGAGAATGTCGCAGGTCCCATTTCCGTTGAAAGCTCTAATTTTTCGAAAACTGCAAAAATTACAACAAGAAAATATTTGGCGTCTTCCTACAACTAAAATATTAAAGACAAAGATTTCTTTCCCTTAATAAAACTCGTTTCTTAAAGATAGATTTTGAAATGAAGTCATTTACAAATTTTCAAAAATGTTAGTATTTTTCCGTAATTTTTCCTGAAATATAGGCAATTTTTAATTTTTGATTAAACAACCTTTTTCTCAAAAACGGCTCCATCTGTTTTGATGAAATTTTGAATCTGTAGGACGTTTAAGAGAAAGTTGTAGGTTTTTGGTTAGTTAAAAACCCTGATTTTTCGAAAATTGAAAACAATTCAATTTTTTCGGCGTCTTCCTAAAACTACAATTATAAACGTACAGTTATGGATATAAAATTTGATCGGAGCCCTTTACGGCAAAATTCAGTGATCGCACTTTGTCATGACGAGGCGTGGCTGGTGGGGCCTCACAAACCACCGCTCTCATCTTAACGTAGGGGGGTGTGGGCTAACATCATTAAGTCGTGTAAATATTTTCAGAGAAAAATATATAGAATGAAACAAGTTTTAAACATGAAAGTTAATTAATTGATATAAATATATAAATGCACACCCATTATCAGTTTTATCACAATTCATTTGGACGATATTACGTTTACACGGGATAATACAACACTAATTTTGGAGAAATTAGTTTCTCATACACATTTTAATTTAAATATTATTGTTCACATACAACCCATTAACTTTATCAAATGTCCTGTTTTGTATAGGTTTTATAGATAAGAAAAATTATTATAAATTGCAAACTAATGTATTTCTTGAATCGATAGAGGACTCCTAGGAAGCCATTTGAATAAAAGTTGAGTATATATTTATCAATTTAGTAACAATAAAACTAGATATTAAGCAATCAATTTGCATCACTTGTCAAAATTGTTATTTCACAATGTTCAACCCTGGGGACAAATTTGGGAGAGTCCCCGGCAGAAGTAGCGCACATTTCGCAGTTGTTACAAATTGTTACTTGTTGCAAAATTTTTCATTCACAATTTTCGGTTCTGTGACATCTTGGAATCTTTCGCACTTTAGAATTGAAAACATTGAAAGTTGTTTATAAATTTCCGAATTTTTCAAATATTTCGTAATCTCTCGCATCAATTCCCTTCAAACAAGATGCGAAATTACGCAATCCAATCGGAGCTATCGCCTTTCGTTTTCTAGATACTCAGCTGCATATAGGAAATTAGCATCTGATGACAACCCTCATTTGTTTTAAAGACAATCCATTTGCTCTTTTCAGTCAATTATACTATTCAGATCGTTTTGCAATCTCTCGCTTTCTGCCGATTATATTGTATTCATGATTTCTGATCTCCGGCCAAATGGCTTAAGTGAAAATTGTTGCTTAAGAGCTGTTACTGTATTTTAAATTTCAAAATTTCCTTCTTATTTTTAATGTAAAGCTGTAGTTTAGTTATTTTGATTCCTCTGTTATAAATAATTATCTTGCAAATTTCAAACGTCGAAACTAATTTCTGTCCTGCAAATGTGAAGATTTCGTTATTATGTGCTTGGGTGCATTCTATTCAGTGATGCAAAGTATATGCGAGTATGTTTGTCGTCTTCTAAGGAAATTTATTATCAACTAATTATTTTTCAAAATGAGTTTGGACGTAATGGTGGCCCGATAGATAATTTTCATATTTATTCCACTATGCACGTTTTATGATGCTGAGATATTCTGCGTAATTAAGTTTGAAACT